ACCCAGTTATGCTTAGAGTTGCTGCTTAGAGTTATGGGCTGAAATATGCGGTGCAAAGCTTAAGGATTTTCATCATATTACTTCTCAGACTGTTATTAGTGACACGTGTGGCTGCCACCGTTGCAATGACTAGGCTTCGACACATACAGCAACACGCCATAACAACCCGTTATGTAAGTCGCGGGCCATACGAATCGCATGTGGTTTAACCTGATTTGTGGAAATTGATTTCGTAACGCACAGTGATAAGGTTTGTAACACAGACAAATGGGATGAACTGTTGCGTCCCCTTGTCATGCTGCCAGGATTTACATATTTTTTGGGGTGAATTTTGCCAAGGTTCCTGCACGTAGAGACTGCCTAACACGTGCAGATAATCTTGACCAGACATACTAATGGCACATCTATGATCCCATGAATTCACTGGTATGAACTTACTATACACAGTACACAAGCTTTCCCACGCTGAAGAATAGCTTTCGAGTTAATCCATCCCTCCCTCTTTCATTCTGTTTTGGCACGAAATGGAGCCTAACGCTTGCATTAACTGCTACCACCTGGCGTCACTTGAATTAGTCCACTTCGAACCGACCGGATGTATCACGCATAGGCATTAAACAGGGCATGCTTGGCTTTCGGGTATATCAACGAGTTGGGAATTGTATCTCCTGGGTTCTTTCGGTGACTATGTAGAGTGTTTCAGTAAGTAATGAGAGCACTTGGGATGTCTCTAGATGACGACTAATTACATAAACCAGAAGGTTGAAGGACAGTGAGCATAATCGCATGCCCAACCATATGCTGTGTGGTTATTATTTCTACAACTCTGTGCTCTTGCACAGATGGGTAAAGAAAGTGCACTAAAATGGATCTAAATTCTCTCGGTGTTGAGGTACTCCAAGAGTGTCCCCATTCACGTTGCAGTCAACACAAGTTCACTAAACTTAATCACAGCCTGTGCCTCCTATCGCAGTTACCATTTTGTAGCATAAGCATTTACGTAACTTCCTTCAAGCCACCTACCAATCTACACGCGAGCATCAAACATTTAGCGAAAACACTCGGAGATGAGGAAATCTTATGTTTGCGACATGATATCTAACACCTTTATCCACTTATCTGTCCTCTTATATACGTAGTACAATGCTTCTCATATAACGAATGCCTACCTTTTGAGTTTAGCCAAACCATCTTCCTAGTGCCTTTTGTTTCCTTACAGTTATGTCCACAAACTACACCGTGTATTCTCCACCCTTCGTTAATGGACTATACATCATAGGGACTAGTCGAAATGTGTTGAATTGACGGGGCTTTGGAACAAATCGAATCGTATAACAGTCTCACAGAAGTACGATTTCTCTGTCCCAACGCCATAAATTCAGATAATTACTGACGGTGTGTGGCGTGCACAGGAGGGGTGAAACGTATCATCACGACTTATCCGACAAATAATGAAGTCATAGTCTACGTCTGGCCTATCACAGATTCATCACGTGCTAGATATCTTTGACTTCTGATATATCAAGGCATTATTATAATTATAACTGTGGTGGACTTTCAGGTAACCTAGAATATCTTTCCATCTACCAGTAGACACATCTGTTCGCGCCGGTGTGGACAACTCTGGTCCAGGCGAAACCTGTCCAGCAAAACACGCTGCCCCACACATGGAAGGCAGCTGTCGACTTTTTCAGGTGCTGAAAACCTCCAAGGCATAGCCCGAAAGCTATTCCTGATGATGGCCCCCCATTTCTCTTCTGACAGTTCTGCCCATAGGGCTGTCCAAGACCAAAAAGTGCCTGTCGCGAGTCATTTGTAAGAGGCCATCTGCCGACGCGCAGTGCGATGGTCAGGTGCTAGAGGCAATCAGTTTGTTTCGTAGGGTGAGGCACATGCATGTACTAAATTTAGGCGACACTAACTGGCTGAAAGCCAACCTTGCGGATGATGCATTTAGCGGAAAACAGTGATTCCGCTGAAGACGGATTATCCGGCCTGGTTGAGGAGCTAGGGCTTATGAAAACCGTGAGGATGGTAACATGATCGAGGGGGACTCGAGTCCCATCTCACTTGAACCTCATGTTCGTTAGTGAAGAATTCTTGGTGGACAGCCTGGCAATTCTTCCTCCGTTGGGCCCCAGCTACCATGTTGCTGCTGGCGTCCTGTATATCTTTAAAGCCAACTCAAATATACCTTTTAATCAGGATAGTCGTAATCTCAAACGACTTGAGACTCTGGCTCTTCGGATGGCATTGAAACAGACAGATTGGGAAGGTGACCACGCATGGCAGGATGTGAACACTCATTAGAGATTCATACTCCACTAGATCACGCACTCCAGCAGCCGGTGTTCTACTTTCAAGGCCTACGTGCCCCAAGGTGCCCAAGATAATTAGCAGCTTCATTCGCAAACTACTGAGGCCAAAAAGACACAGCTGGGTCGAGGACAAACCGAGTGGTGCCAAATACACCCACAGATTCAACTGGACATAAACACATGCGCAAAGGTATTGAGAGCCGGTCGGTAATGGCTTCAAGTGGGACTCGGAAAATTTTTTTTCTAGCCCAACAAGTCCGTTTCACTATGCTGCATCGTTCTCACAGGCTAAAGCGAGAGTCTCCCAGCTATTACCTTTCAAGGGGCTGCCTAGTGGCAACACCGAAGCAGATGAGCCCCCGCTAGGCAGTGTTTTCGTATACCTTCGTCACGGTTCATGGTTTACGGAATTCCCACCGACAAAGTCAGATCCTCGGTCATTGATATAGGCGCCTCACTAGCAAACTGTTTTTGTTCACAAAAGTCACATCTCTGGGACCGAATAAAATCCATGCGGCGGTACTGCAGGAAGGGCTTCATTCTTGGTTGAACCTTTTAGTAAGTTATTTAAGATTCTAGAAGTCAGGGGAAAGTACCTGATCCATGAAAGCTGGGCCAAATAACACTAATCTTAAGAGAAGGTCAACGAGGCAACCCGAAGAAACACAAATCGGCGACGCTCTTATCCACACCTTCTAGAGTAATGGAATGGTTATTCTACAATGGACTGAAAGACTAACTCATAGTGATCAACTTCTTTGCGCTCCAACAACACTGCTTTGAGAAGGAGTTCTCTTGTATCACCAATCTCTTCACTGCGGTGGATAGATTGATAAGTATTGCCGACTGTCGGTGGCCGAATTGACGTTATTTGTCTGGACTTTACAGGGAATCTGATCATGTTAATCACGGCCACTCTATTGATAAATTAACTTTAGTTGCGATAGTACCACCCCCAACTGATTGTTCGCCCTTATGTCGACCAGGTCTTTTATTTAGAGTTCTGGTGGGTTTATCTGTGTCTGAAGAAACAGTGTCCTGAAGAGTTCCCCCAGGGTTCGCCATTGAGGCCCCTTTTTCTACCTCGTGAAAACAGTTTTCTCCATTTGAGGGCCTGACCCAACTTCAGAAATGTATAGTCAAAAATGGGCCTGCGTTTGGTCCTGAAACATGAAGAGTGTTACACGCAAAACGTGACGCATGTCACTTATACAGCATTAGTGGCATGGAACTCGAAGATAAGTTAACGGAAAAGGATTAGGGGTTTCGGTCCTCCAAGACTTGAAATCCAATGCCCACTGTGACAAACGAATGTCCGTATGCCACTCTGGCTATGTCAGGTTTACTCTTCGAGTGTTTTCGCTAAATGTTTGATGCTCGCGTGTAGATTGGTAGGTGGCTTGAAGGAAGTTACGTAAATGCTTATGCTACAAAATGGTAACTGCGATAGGAGGCACAGGCTGTGATTAAGTTTAGTGAACTTGTGTTGACTGCAACGTGAATGGGGACACTCTTGGAGTACCTCAACACCGAGAGAATTTAGATCCATTTTAGTGCACTTTCTTTACCCATCTGTGCAAGAGCACAGAGTTGTAGAAATAATAACCACACAGCATATGGTTGGGCATGCGATTATGCTCACTGTCCTTCAACCTTCTGGTTTATGTAATTAGTCGTCATCTAGAGACATCCCAAGTGCTCTCATTACTTACTGAAACACTCTACATAGTCACCGAAAGAACCCAGGAGATACAATTCCCAACTCGTTGATATACCCGAAAGCCAAGCATGCCCTGTTTAATGCCTATGCGTGATACATCCGGTCGGTTCGAAGTGGACTAATTCAAGTGACGCCAGGTGGTAGCAGTTAATGCAAGCGTTAGGCTCCATTTCGTGCCAAAACAGAATGAAAGAGGGAGGGATGGATTAACTCGAAAGCTATTCTTCAGCGTGGGAAAGCTTGTGTACTGTGTATAGTAAGTTCATACCAGTGAATTCATGGGATCATAGATGTGCCATTAGTATGTCTGGTCAAGATTATCTGCACGTGTTAGGCAGTCTCTACGTGCAGGAACCTTGGCAAAATTCACCCCAAAAAATATGTAAATCCTGGCAGCATGACAAGGGGACGCAACAGTTCATCCCATTTGTCTGTGTTACAAACCTTATCACTGTGCGTTACGAAATCAATTTCCACAAATCAGGTTAAACCACATGCGATTCGTATGGCCCGCGACTTACATAACGGGTTGTTATGGCGTGTTGCTGTATGTGTCGAAGCCTAGTCATTGCAACGGTGGCAGCCACACGTGTCACTAATAACAGTCTGAGAAGTAATATGATGAAAATCCTTAAGCTTTGCACCGCATATTTCAGCCCATAACTCTAAGCAGCAACTCTAAGCATAACTGGGTCGTTGATCGTGTACACTGAGCGAGTAATAAAACCGAGGTGCCTAGCTGTTTGGCGGCAAGCAAGCGAGGCCATGGTAAACAACCTCATGAACAATTGGACTAGATATTGCTCTGAACGTCAAGGTCTAATCGACCTTCAAAGCTGTAGGTCAGAATGTACGGCTGAGCACCTCACATAAGTGGTCAAGTCATCTACAAGACACTGTCGTAAGCAGATTTATGCCTCCTATCAAAGGACCAGGGAATTTTGCTTTTTCCCAAATTGATCATGAATGATGCAAAGTCAAGCTTTCGAAGTCCTTTCGGGATTAACCTTCTGGCAGGTGGATTAGCAGGATGTGTTGCAAAAACCTCAATTGCCCCTCTTGACAGAGCCAAAATTAATTTCCAATGTAAGCTTAGTTTTGGTGCCTTAAACTTTGTAGCCACTCGTATGCCGTACAATGTACGCAGTCTGATCCAATTTCTGAAGAATACTTACTACAAACAGGGATTCCTGTTTTTGTGGCGTGGTAACACAGCAACACTTGCCAGAATTTTCCCTTATGCTGCCATCCAGTATTCGGCTCATGACCACTATAAGTATTTGCTGGGGATTGATTCAGCTAGGCATTCGTGAGTTTATTATCTCGTTCTCACCTTTATCACGACCGTAGACAATAATACCTGTTAACTGCGAAATATATTGTGACGTTGGGGGTGAATAACATAGTTTGGTACACTTTTTTACTGCACTGCGGTTGTTTACACGGGATGTATTTCATTTTAACCGACCATTCATAATACTTCTGTGAATTAATTTACCTGCCATATATATACGTATATAATCATTTGTTTATTCTACATACTCATGTATATAAATAAATATATGCACATATCTAGTAGCTTTGAAAATGTATCGAACGCTGAATTGGTGGCTGTGTATTTCGAAACTTGTTCCCACACTGCACATCCTCTTCTTGGCTCCCTCCCAGTATCCACAGTACTAAAAATCCATTCTGGTCGTTTTTGCCGAGACTTAATTTAGGTACCTCTGAGAAAAACACTTGCTTTAGCGCTATCTATGTGTGATGGTAAAAGTGTTCTGTGCTGGATGTATGATGTAATTTAACCTAATGGCAATGAAGTCGGTTTTGCGCTTATTCCTTCAACTGATGTCCGCATCACGAAGATGGTATGAGGTTAAGACTTTTAAAATCCCATCGGATTTTCTCATGCGGCCTCCTGGCTCGTTAAGAAATTACTTTATGCCCATCCACCTTTCTGATGCCTGGGCATTAATATTTTAAATCCATGTTGAGAGGAGCAGGAATGTCGAAATTATCATGCGGTAAGATAACATAAAGTTGCTTCTACTTATGCAAAAGGATTTTTAGATAGGGTTAGTATATCACCTTATGGACAAGATAAGTCCCGGAGTTCAGAGGTCCACACTATGAGGCTAAATGAGGAAAAACACATTGGACACAAGAATGGAATATCTTTATTCGCCTATAGTTCAGTCATTCGACCGTAGTTTGCGCTTTTATCTTTATTTCTGTAGTGCACACGCAATTAATTATAACTTGCACATTGTGTACTGAGAGCGTACGTGGTGTGTCTAAATTTGTGAGGCTTTTCTGGTTTTTAAATTGTTAAAAATTCCATCGAGACCTTCAGATAAGTTGTACAACCATCTTTTTATGTGTCGTGAGTTTCTTAAACATTGAACTTTTGCTGAACTTTTTTACGAAGCGGAGCGAAAACTCAGAATTATGATAAATGTGTACCACTACAGTACAGTTTTGGTGGAGATGCAGCCTGTTGGTTTAGACTTTCTTTTAATTGTTGAGTTTTGATTTTCAACACTGGTCCACCTACTATAACTCAGGCAACTGAGTAACGTCTAATTCTGTCACATTGAAAATCACTCAAAGTGCAGTACGGAAACTCGTACGCGTAGTTAGATTGGACTGATTGATCCGATACTTTGGTTGCCTACATTTCCTAGCAGTCCAGGCTTGTGGTTAGGAGTATATTCTTTTGTTACTTTTTGATTTGATGTAGAAAACTCTTACCTCGAGACAGCGAACGCTTGCTGCAGCTGCTTGCATAGTATGCAAATAAATGCTACTACAGTGCGTGACATGGAGCTCACATTCGACGCATTTGTAGCAAAGTGAGATTGACGAATCTGCAACATGCCAACGTTGGAATTACTTCGCTGATGACTATTGACCGTACGGGGAACCTTTTAAGAACCAATCATAATTCGGTTTCTACTTGTAGTTATGCGTCACTGGTCTTGAGATAAACACAGGGGAAAGGCTTATCCTACATTCCGTTTTATCGGTGTTTATATTCCGATTCTACATTAACTAGATAGCTCCTGTTATGGAAAGGTTCACATTTCCGGCAGGCATTGCTCGGAATCTAGTTTTCTGCAAGGTTGTTCATATAGGGATGAATTTTTGATGGATCCACTTCACCGCTAAGTTTTTGTGGTATTTGAATCTTACCAGGGTAGAGACACGCCGTTAGAGTATACAATCACGAACGGTTCACGCGACGCTCGTGAAATCAGTCGATGTTAGAGGCTAGAGAATTCGAGGTACTTAAGGCTTTCCAGTCAGAATAAAACGCACTCAGCAACCCTGTGCCACGTCTATTGTGTGAGGGTTAGTGGTATTACCTGGCCTCTTCAACCTCTGTGGGTGAAGTGTCTTGAACTCGTGATTCACCGATCGAAAGTCACCACCCTAAGCTACTGAGCCACAGCTCCAGTTCACTAGGCAAATATGTCCAAAACAATTTCAGTAATTGAAAGCATAACAGAAGTGGTTCACGTTCAAGATAAGGGACTACTTTCCATTTCTTTTTCAACATCATTCATTACAAGTTGTTGATTTGTTCAAGTTAAAG